GGCGGGGCCTGCCCGGGGTGCAGTGGGCCCGGGTCGTCCCTGGGCCCGTGCCGTGTCAGGGGGACCCGAATCTTGGCTCCGGGCTGGGCCACTTCGTGCTGCAGGAAGGACAGGCTGCTGGGCAGGTGTATGTCCCGCTTCCTTGCGTGTCCTTAATGCCGATGCATTTCGGTTTTAATGCTGTCTAAGGAGGGAGGATGATTGTCGTGTTTTCAGTTCAGTCCAGTACTTCTCTTCAGGGGTATAATGAACTGTGAAAGGTTGGGCTCTTCTCCCAAGTAGCTATTCATAGGTTGAGAGGAAATGGGCTTAAGTTGTGCCAGGGGAGGTTTAGATGGGATGTTAGGAAGAACTTCTTTATTGGTAGAGTGGTAAGGTGTTGTGCCAGGCTGCCCAGGGAGATGGTGGAGTCACTGTCTCTGGAGGTGTTCAAAAAACATGTATCTGACACTTTCGTCATGGTTTAGTGGTCATGGTAGTGTTGGGTTGATGCTTGGGCTTGATGATCTTAGATGTCTTATCCAATCTTAATGATTCTATGACTCTATGAATTCCTTTATTGTTTTAATAACCTTCCTTTCTAAAGCCTTAATGCTGTTCCGAACACATGCATGTGCAACTTAAAATCTGATGCTCAGATATTTTTAGATAAAGAAATGGGTTTTTTGGGAAATGTGTTCAGTCTGATATTAAAGCCCTAAATACTAGAAATATAGCTAGAAGTTGGTTATTTTAAATTTTACTGCACTGTTACATGTTTAGTCCAAAATCCAAGACTTTATTTCAATGCTGTTGTATCCTAGATAAATAATATAGCTGGAAGTCGGTGGTGTACGTCTCTGTAGATTTAGTAATATGTTTGACACGTATGACTTCCATGTCAAAAAATGTAGCCAATCTAAAAAAAAATTAAAAAACTTTTAAAGCCCATCCCTTTTTTTTTTTAGTTTGACCATTTTTTCTTTTTTTTTTTTACTGGGAGGGGTAAAAGCATGGAATGTTATTCCTACTTACTTGAGGTATCTAGGGAAATGATGGATTTACTCTTTCCATTGTACAATCTTTATCTGTTTTTTGAAAAAAAAAAAAAAAATAGTATTTAAGTGCTAGTCTGGCCAGTAGCTTTGCACAGATGACTGTCATGTGGCAATTTCCTGAAGACTTTGAATCTAGCCAGAGAGGAAATCTGATGGGATTTCATTAATGTGGTGAATTACATACTCTACACCTCACTTAAAATTTGATCAGATGGAGATTCGTAGTTTTGCAGCTGGAGAGCATTTCAGTGCTGGAGGTTGTGCCACGTTCCACATGTGTCCAGGGGTAATGAGAATTGATCTGAGGAACTGTTTGACATCTGAAAGCCAATGTTAGGAAGCTGGGTGCAGTCATAAATTTGTTCTGTCTCCAAGAGTGAGTCATGAGTATTTTGGGCTTTGCAGTTTGATGATAGAAGATATGTTTTCTGGCTCGGGTGTGGGTGAAGTAGCCAATATATTTGTTGCAGATAGTGTTCCTGATGAGGAAGTGGGCTAATGTCACTTGGGGTTGTCAGGTGACAACCTGGGAGGGACAAGGTTCTGCTTTATGCAGGGAGGGATACACTGGAGGTTGTCACACAGTCGCTGCTGGAGAAAGGCTGTTTTGTATATGGAAAATACTGCCCGTGTATGCCAAAGCTGTGTGCTCACAGGGCATTTTTAAGTTTGTGTGAAGTGTTTGCTTTTCTGATTATGTTCCAACATAGGTTTTGCAAAATTAGAAAAAGGCAAAGTAGAAAGTAATGTACTGTGTTGGAAACTTCTGCATGTGTGTGTATATATATACACACCCATATAAATGTATTTGTTTTGGCAGGACTTTTGTCAACCTTGTTTTGCAAGGAGAGATACGGTTAAAGTAAATCTCAAAAGCCAGTTGAAATTGGAGAGTATTAGGGGTCTTGTGAACAGACATTTGTTATAGGCCTTGAAGACTCTACAGGATGTAGTTACGTATTTATCCCGATCTGACGGGGTGAGGTGAATTTCCTGCTCTGCTACCAGTTATTTTGGAAAGCTGGGAACTGACAGTGTGGTACATGGTGTGCTTCTTTAGTCCAGTGTTTATGAAATGTGAAAGGAAGAAGAACTTTGTCATTTAGAAATTGAGACCTTTTATTGAGTAGAAATGGCTGTTCTGCTGTGGTTGGGAGACAGTCCATAGGCCTGGCTTCATAGTGGTTGTTGCTTATAAATGGTTTTGGTTTTCCCTGCACAGTCGTTCATGCAGATAGATTTTGGTTTTGTTCCTCAAAGTGGGATAAAAATTAAAGTAAGAGAAATTGATAAATATAGGTGATACCTCAAATTGACATGGTTTGAAAAGACTACTAAATAAAATAGATGGTTAAAATAATCCTGCTTGGTCACTGCTTCTTTTAGGATTAATTAATTAGAACAGCAGCATCCTAGAGGGACTTCTTGGTGGATTCCCCTGTGCTCCCTAGATACTCTGTATTACAGTTATGTTGGCTGAGGATAAAGACATTTATTACTGGCTGCTTCTAGCTGCAGAGGTGCTTGGTCTCTCTCTTAGGCTGGGCACTGAGTAGCAGAGAAGCAGTGACAGCTCTGGGATTTCTTCCCCAGGGCCTGGGGAGTATTTGTTGCCAGAGCAGATGACAAGACTCCTATGACTTCTGCAGGTGGCGTTGTCTGCTTGCAGGATGCTGTTCCCTCAGCAGGCAGATGGTGATGCTCAGGCCATCACAGGTTTAACTCAGCTTACTGTGAGACCTGTGATAACATCAAACCACTTTTTTCTTCCCCACTTGTTACTAGCTTGCTACAAAGCAGAACACTGTGCTTGACCAGGACCTGGTTTCTGTATTTTTTCAGTGTGAAAGGACAGTCACGGCCTTGCACCTTTTGGAGCCCTCTCCTGCAATTCTGCAGAATGGGGGCTTACTTTTCTGCACCAGAGATTTAACTCTTCTGCCAGTACAAGCTAGGATTTGTAGGGCAGGATTTTAGTCCTGCTCACCAAATGTTTGGAGTGATGGGTTATGGCCACCTTGCAGGTCAAGTGAGAAACCTTGCGAGGGCTCTGCTGAAGGAGCAGGCAAAAACAGATTGATTAACCTGTAGGTTTGGTCTGTTTGGGAATGTCCCTAAGCTTTACTTTTGGATTTGATCTCAGAAGTCTAAAAACCAAAGCGTGAAGTCCTGTGCTTAGTTTCTGTTTTCATGGTGAAAGGAAATGAACCATGGCTGCTCTTGCATTTGGTAGGCATAAGGGAAATTGGAAGGCTCTAGGAGCAGGGGTCTTTGCCAAGTTGTCTTGGGAAGGTCCTGACTTCAGTCATACTTTGGTCTCTTATTTCAGACTTCTAATTTTTGTTGCTTTATCTGTGTATACTGAATGAATTTTATGGGGCATCTTAAATGTTCTTGAAAGCTTGGTATCTTTTGTTTCATTTTATGATGTGTTTAACCATCAAGGATCTGTAAGCTTTGTAATCCTTTTAGCTTTATGGGGGCCAACAAGAGTTTTGGTAATAAGCTGATAATGTGACAGAGTGTTTTCACTACATAGACTTAACCTGTTTGAACCTCTCACAATATCTCTGGTGATCTTCTTGGTTTTGCAGATGATTCTGCAGATGTTGGTGAAGAGGACAGCTTCTTGGGTCAGACTTCCGCCAGCCCCAATCCACCACAGACTTTCAACTATTTCTCTCAAGTACCTAGCAGCAGTGATCCATTCGGAAGCATTGGGCAGGCACCCCTAACAACTGCACCTCCTGCTGGATCACCAGCCTTCTCCAGGCCCCCAGCTTCACTTCCACTGGCCTCTGGGGCACAGGATGGGCCCAGTGCCTTTCCCCCGCACATTCCGAAGTCGCAGTCCTCTTACAGCACCCCACCTTCTTCACAGGGGGGGGTGGCAGCTTTCCAGACTCCTCAGCAGAGCTGCCCCCCGTCTGCAGGCGCCTCTGCTCTTCCCCCAGGAACATCCCAGCAGGGCTATAACCCCTACAGGCACACCACCCTGAGCAGCAGAGCTAACCCCTACCTCACCCCACCGCAGCTGCAGCAGAGTCCAGCCCCTGCTCACCCACCACCTACCGTGCCCCCTGTCCAGATGTATCAGACACCTCCGGGGTCACTGACACAGGTACAGAAATCATTCCTTGTGTCCCAGAGCAAAACCATTTCTGTCACTTTCCTCTTGAATTGCTTGTTTTATCCTCTGAAGGTTTTTCTTTTCCCCCAGAAGAAAAGCCTCAAACCATTTCTGACAGTAAAGTAGTTTCACTAGCACTAGCCCGCAACTGTTACTTTAGGAAAACTTGATCTTTGAAGCAAGTTGTACCCTGAGGCTGTAGTTCAGTGAACCTCTGGCATCAGAAACAAAGCCAGGTTGTGAAGTTCTGTTGCTCTTTTCTGCCTGGTACTGAGTTTGCTGCCTTCAGCTGTGCTGCTGCATTGTTTATGCCTCTGCTGTGAATTGGGTCATTCAGCTGTTTGCAAGATATGGGTGAAAAATCTCCTTCCAAGCTGTTTTTGCTGGTGAGGGCAGCACTTTTTGGATTTATGATCTAAGTCACATGAGTAGTCAGTAAACCTTTTGAAACACACTGAGTGAGGATTTTGTGTGGTTGGAAGCATTAATCTCCATTGTTTTTCATCTTGACAAAAAGATTACTAACCCCTTCACTTCATTTCCATAATAACCTGACACATTTTCCTTGAAAACAACACAAGCTGTTTTTATTTTTCCTGAGCTGTTGCTGTATTGCTTTTACTGTGAATAAAGAATAGAAAGATTATATAATGACAAAGTATAGCAAAGGCAGTAGACCTTAAAAAATCTGGACTTTTAAAGAATTTCAGGGCTTCTGTTTGCTTGATTTTATGTAGGGTACAATATATCAGTTGTTTTTTCTTTAACTATATCAACCAAAATAGTTGCTACTGCTGGCACCACTTGCTTTGAGTTGTACTCACTGGGATCTTCTTAGGCTACAGTGCCTTTCAAACTCAGTAACTTTTCTCGCATCACTGAGGCTGCATTTGAGTTTGAAACCTGCCTGCCCCGTTCACTTTGCAGGAAGAGACCTATTACTGAGGTGAACGCTTGTTACACTGACAAACTTTATGCAAAAGTGTAATTATGTACAAATGAATAATGAGAAAAATCCAGTTTTATTTTTGTATCTAATTTGGTGGCTGTAAGAAATAAACTCAGCCTGAGTTTTGAAGGTCTAATAGAATATTTGAAATCTTGCTGGTTTTAGTTAACCACGGTGCTGGACCATAACAGTTTTTAACAGTGTTTGTGGGAAGGAAATTCTCAATCTGAAAAGGTGGAAGTTTTCAAAAACATGATGAAGTGGACAACTTGTCTCTAGTACTTTTAGAATGAAGAGCAATGGTCTTGGGAGGATAAAAAGTTAGAAATAAGGCTCGGTGTTCTTTTTCACAAAGTATAGCTCAGTTTTGCAAACACTGTGTGAGACTGGGGTGATGAGCCCAGATGTGCTTTCAGTTTCCACAGACTCCGTCACAGGTCCGAGCTCCCAGGCCGGCAGGTCCACTGGTCCAGGCACCTCCTGTTTTGCTGCAGAACCAGTATGAGGTGGTGCAGCCACACTGGTTCTACTGTAAGGAGGTGGAGGACAAGCAGATATGGCTGCCCTTCAGCATCCTGGACTCTGCAAAGCTGGAGGAAGTCTACAATTCCGGTAAGTTGTGTCCTGCTCGGGGTGAACAGAAGGGCTAGGAGGCAGATACTGGAGTAATGACACCTGTGAGAGAGTGATAGGGCAGTAATAAGTTAACACACATCTCAAAGACGTATTTTGTGCCACTTTATTTCAAGTATGTTATCTGGTGCTTGATCTGTTGAGATGTGTGTGCCTTGTGGATATCCCATTTTCACCTAGAGCTCCTAGTTCTCTATGTTGTGGTTTGCGGACAAGCAGATATGGCTGCCCTTCAGCATCCTGGACTCTGCAAAGCTGGAGGAAGTCTACAATTCCGGTAAGTTGTGTCCTGCTCGGGGTGAACAGAAGGGCTAGGAGGCAGATACTGGAGTAATGACACCTGTGAGAGAGTGATAGGGCAGTAATAAGTTAACACACATCTCAAAGATGTATTTTGTGCCACTTTACTTCAAGTATGTTATGGTGCTTGATCTGTTGAGGTGTGTGTGCCTTGTGGATATCACATTTTCACCTAGAGCTCCTCGTTCTCTATGTCGTGGTTTGCCTTTTTGGTGAACTCTGTCAGCTCTGAAATTAGTGTTCCCATTTGGGAGTTGTTCAAGGGTTTTTTTTTTGTTGTACAGAAAATATAGAAGCATTTCAGGAGCAACACAATGGTCACCTCGTACTATGTAGCTGCTCTTCTGTGGTATAACTCTCTGTCTTGGTGGCCTAATGTTCATCACAGAAGTGGCTGGGACTGGAGCAAGAGAGAAAGGAGATTGAGCGTGTTAGTTGTGTGACAGAGTGACTTTTGTGTCCCAGTCCAGCCTGACCCTGAGAGCGTGGTTCTGAGCACGGACGGGGGCCGCTACGACGTGTACCTGTACGACAGAGTGCGGAGGGCTGTGTACTGGGAAGAGGAGCCCTCGGAAGTGAGGCGCTGCACGTGGTTCTATAAGGGGGACAAGGACAGCCGCTTTGTGCCTTACACCGAGGATTTCAGTGAGAAGCTAGAGGTGAGTCCTGCCTTTCCATAAACTTCACAAAGAGCCTGGTGGTTCTTTGTGTTCGTGACCTTAGAAATACTTCTCCGTGTTCCGTTAAGATGATTTCCAGAATGCACGTTCTGGGACATAAGTAAGCAAATCCTGGAAAGGGGAGTGACTAGAAGACCGTGGTGCTCATGCACAGGTCCTGCACCGTTGTGACCGAAAATCTACTTGTGTAGTGCTTCATGGGACACTTTTGTATAGTTATATAAATCCTAACATCTACATTACAGATGGTGCATGAGGCCAAGAAATACTTTGTCTGAGAAGGTGTACTGATTTTGTGTATCTTGTTTACTGTTTCAGACAGAATATAAAAGGGCTGTGACAACAAACCAGTGGCATCGGCGACTTGAATTCCCAAATGGGGAGACAATCGTTATGCATAATCCCAAGGTAAGAGATTTTTGGCAGTTTGCTCTCACAGAATTTGTTAGGAGTGAATGAGCAGATGGATGGAAACATAAATTGATCACTGTCTTAGTCTTGCTTGAAAGGTACGTGTTGGTTGTTTTGGATGTGTGTGCATTAAAGGTGATAATGTCTATAGAACACTGAACTGCTTGCTTCCACATGCTGGCACATGGTGAAAAGACAATGCTTTGTGAAAATGAAGAAGAATAAGGGTTTGCACAGTAAATATTTGGACTAAACATAACTGGCAGCAAATGGGAGGCAACTTATTTTAACCTCATTCTGTATCAAATGGGAGGTACTTTTACAAAGAGCATTAATCTAACTATAAGGTAATTAATTTGTGTAACTAAGCCTTGAGAAGTCTTCCACTACAACTGTTTTTTAGGCCATGAGAAAGTACAGCAAAAGAAGACCCTTTAAAAGTTAATCTAAATACTCTGCTTACAGTCTCATGTGATTAAAACATGGACTTCAGCCTTATTGACTGTTAACTGCTCGCTTATCACAGATGCAGTAATTAATAAATAAAATAATCCAGGGGCCAGAAAGGATCACAGTTGCTCCTACTTTAAGTACTTACTAAATGCTGGTTAAGGAGTTTTGTCCAGTGAAAAATGAGTGCTTAAACCACTTGGCATCCTAAATAGAAGTTCAGGCTGTATTTAGTCTGTATAAGTTTGGTAAATGCCATACCACTGAATTCCTCACTTTCTAGAGTTTCTGGGCTACTTTGAAGCCCTGAAAAGGCTTCAGTGCCCTGAGAAGCACTGCACTTTTCCCCCTTCTTTCTTCTCTTCCCCCTGATAAAGTAGTTCTTAATAGGGGTGTTGCGTTCCGAAACTGAAACGTGTTCAGTTTCCTCACTAACAGTAATCTGCTAAAGGAGAGTGGATACTTGAAAGAGGAACTTGAGTGATGCTTGTCTGAGAAGTTAAAATTGTTAGGAATTGCTGAGCAGGCCAGCTTCTCCAGCTAGTTTAAGTCATCTGGATGCTTTTCACAAGAATGAGAACTGCCTGTGTTGTTTTGGAGTCTAGTTTTAGTGAAGCTGTTGCTGCCAAAGGGAGTAGCCCTGGGACTTTCTAAGGCTTTTTTTTTTTCTGCATATGTGCAACTGAACAAAACAGTGGAGTCTCTGATGCAAGGTAAAGCAATTAAACAAAATTCCTTTCAGGCTAACAAGAGGAATCAAAAGGCTTCTTGTGTTTATAACTGGACAATATTATTCTTTTCAGGTCATAGTTCAGTTCCAGCCTTCTGCCACACAAGATGAATGGGGCACAACTCAAGATGGTCAGGCAAGACCAAGGGTAGTGAAACGTGGGATTGATGATGACCATGATGAAATTCCTGATGGTAGGTGATGCTGTATGTGGCTCTGCAACTTGAGCAGTCAGTTTGGTTCTGTGCAAGAGCCCAGCACTAGTGGGTGGGGTGGCAATGCATTGATTATGCCTAAAGATTAAAGTTACTCCTTAGTCTAAGCTGCTTGAAAGAGGTTATCTGGCTTTGGCTTTTTTTTAATCAAAAAAGTCCTGTGGCCTATGTTGTGTCCTGAACCTTATTATCTAATAGACTTTATAAAGCAAGTATATCTTAAAGTTGCTTGACTCTAAACTTCACCTCTAATGGAAATACTGGAACTCTGAATTTTTATTTTTTTTTACAGGAGAAATGTCTCAAATTGACCATCTAGTATTTATGGTTCATGGCATAGGTCCTGTGTGTGACTTGAGATTTAGAAGCATCGTTGAATGTGGTAAGTTTGTGTTTGTTTAATGAGTGGTTGTATTCTGAACTGTGTAAGTGTGTCTCTCTATATCCTGTATGCACACAAGCACGTGTTTTTTTTCAAAACAAAAAATACTCTAATGTTAAGAAGTTAAATTTCTAGCAGATTTTTTTTCCTGATTGTTTTGCAAAAGGAGAATCTGTGTTTTGTCAGACTTGCAGCTTTAACTGTTATTACTAGTCCTCAGTATTAGACCGGGAGTGTGGTTTGGGTTTTGGGGGTGTGTGGGCTTTCATGTGGTGTGGGTGTTTGCTTTGTGTGGTGGTGTCTGTGTAGGGTATTTGTTTGCTTCCATTTATTTATTTATTTTATAAATAGACTCCATCACAACTGAGTGACCTAAGGCGGCCGTGTCTGGTCATGGAGCAAAAATGCAGTCCTTGTGAGAAAAGGAGAAGCTTGCTAGAATATCTACTTTCTGAAAAATGTTTTTTTAATGTTTAGAAGAGTAATACCTGAAAAAGATTTTTTCACTTCACTGTTTCATTCACATTCTGACCATGTCTGAAATTGGAGTAGTGAAAAAGAAAAAAACCTTTGTGTGTTACGTGAGTACTACTACTATCAGATTTTTATCACTTTTCTTCTCTACAGTTGATGATTTTAGGACTGTTTCTCTGAAGTTGTTGCAGACTCACTTTAAGAAGTCTTTAGAGGAACGTAAAGTGAGCAGGGTGGAATTCCTCCCAGTTCACTGGCACAGTTCTCTGCATGGAGATGCAACAGGTGTAGACAGGTGAGTGTATTGTTTAATGTTGAGAACCTCATACAAGCTACATCTTGCTGGTGTTTGTAAAGTGGATAAGAGAAGAAGTTAATATACTCTTAAGGTAAGATCAGTAAATGTAAGACCGGGTTATAAAGGAGAATCACTAATTGTTTTTTAATTAACATTTTAATGAGAAGTGTAGGGAAGGCTGGAAAGGCACATAGAGTATTTCTCTTGTTTGTTTCTGTGACACTAACAGGACACATCCACACAGACACACTTTCTCAGTACTGCATTTTTCTGAAAGTGGCTGATGCACTGACACGTGATGACGAGTGTGTGGAGACAGTGATTGTAAATATGAGGTGGTGAGCATGGGGATGTGTCATCCAGCAACAGGAGTGTACAATTTGGAGTGGAGAGTTCCTCTCCTGTACCTTCCTGCAGTCTGACCTGGTCTGACTCCAGGAGGAACTTCTTTCTGAGGAAGGCATTGAGCACTCTGTCTAGTCCTAGAGTAGTACTTGAATTACTGTTAGGTAGTTGAAGGCTTTTTTTCTTTTTTTTTTGACTCCAGGAGGAACTTCTTTCTGAGGAAGGCATTGAGCACTCTGTCTAGTCCTAGAGTAGTACTGAATTACTGTTAGGCAGTTGAGGGCTTTTTTTCTTTTTTTTTTTTTAAACAAAGTATCTATATTTGGGTATGAGTATTACAGCATTTTGAAATCTGTTTTACAGTAGTTTCTTGGCATCAATCTCTTTGCTGTTGCTTGACATTTCAAGCTCCTTTCTCTTGCTCAAAGATGGGAAGTAGCAATTGTGAGGGTAGCAACCTTAGAGTGCGCGTTTGTGTTCTCCAGAGTGTTCTAGCTCAGGCAAGTCAAACTGCTTACCTCGAGTCTTGGTCTTCTGCTCACATCTGAACACTGCATATCATGAGGAAGGGCCCTGATTCTGTTGATCAAGCCAGGCAACGCTATGGCAGTCTCAGTTCTCCAGCAGTTCCATTGCACCACCCTACCTCCAGGCAGGCAGATGGCGATGCCAAGCTTTTTCTTCAAAAAGAGAGTACTATGTTGTGTGTTGCTTCAATGTCACCTCCAACTTTTATATGCAGGTTCTTTTCCTCTTCCAGTTTGACTTCACAAAACTTCCCTGTTCCTATGACAACAGTGTTGGAACAGAGAAAAGATTATTTGGGGCATTCCTTCAGCCTGGAGAGGGAAAAAGGGAGCTGTATCTTTCTTCAATATGTACGCTCGGCAGATAGCACTGGTGTTGGAATAGGCGAGGAGGCTGGAAGGCTCTGTGTTTATGTAGTGCCTGTAGTATTTACCCTGCAGTTCTACTACCTGGCATTTCAAAAGTTAACGCAGAACTTGCCTGCAGGCCTTTAAAGCATTCATGCTTCTAACGTTTTTTTGTTGCTAGGAACATAAAAAAAATCACCTTGCCGAGCATCGGGCGGCTGCGGCACTTCACCAACGAGACGCTGCTGGACATCCTCTTCTACAACAGCCCCACCTACTGCCAGACCATCGTGGACAAGGTGGGGCTGGAGATGAACCGGCTCTACGCGCTCTTCATGAGTCGCAACCCCGACTTCAGAGGAGGCGTCTCGGTGGCCGGGCACAGCCTAGGTAAGTATCTAAGGATAAGTAAGATAAGTTTTTTGGAACACAGAATAAGTGTTATAATGACATACTAGTTTGAGCTGGAACTTTTCCTCCAGTTGGGAAGCAGTCTAAGATGGTTAAGGAAATATAGTTTAATCATAGAAACTACATAAAGGATGAATAGGGTAAAAATAAAACCCAAAACTTTGCTTTTTGCTGAGAATGATCCTGTTTGTGTTAGTGTGTGGGTATTTTAGCTTTAATTCAGCCATCCTTTATGATCAGTCTATGTGTTGTTGTTACTTATATTGCATATAGATCTTGCTTGAGATTTAGGGACAGGAAAATCTGACCTGTTTCTCCAAGGCAACTTTAATTCCTCTTTCCAGGTTCCTTAATTCTGTTTGACATACTGTCTAACCAGAAGGACTTGGCTTCATCAGTAAACACTGGCCCGTTCTCTGGTGTTAATGGGACTGTGAAGGATGGGGGTGTTCCTGATAAACAGGTAATTTTCAAGGCATTTTTGTTCTTGTGGGTGTGGTTGTTTTTTTTTTTTTTTAAGCGTTTGGAATGGTAGGAGTTGGAAGGGCCCTCAGGAGATCATCTCGTCCACCCCCTCCGCCAGAGCAGGTTCATCTAGGGCAGGTTGCAGGATCGCATCCAAGCGGGTGTGGAATCCCTTCAGAGAAGGACTCCGCAGCCTGGTCCAGGGTTCTGGCACCCTCAGAGGACAGAAGTTTTCCCTTGTATTTAGATGGAACTTCCAGTGTTCCAGTTTGTTTCTGTTGCCCCTCGTCCTATTGCTGGGCACCACTGAAAAGAGAATGGCCCCATCCTCTTGGCTACCCTTCAGATATTTATAAACATTGATCAGATCCCCTCTCAGGCTTCTCATCTCCAGGCTAAAAAGACCCAGGTCCCACAGCCTTTCCTCATAAGAGATATTTTTTTGTCATGAATATCAGCTTTGACCCTTGTGGATGTGTAACTTGGTCTTACAGTGTCTGAAAGGTGGGGGAGATGTGCAAGAGGGAAAGAATCTATTTGTTTTCAGGCTAGAACCAGTGGCCAGTTGTTTGATAAAAGCAAATATTTTTGAGTGTTGGAAGGCTCAAGAAACCTTTTGCCTCTTAGTGATTTTTAAATGTGTATTTTGCTGGTCTGTTAGTGGAAAATCTGTATCTTGCTTTATTAAAAATGGGCATAAATTTACAAAGCTTATATAATAACATTTTTAAGAGAGAGTAATTAAACTTGTTTTTACTTGTTGCATATTGATTTTTCACTGTTTGATGATGTGATTTCATTTCTGTGGTGTTTTAAGATGACTGAAGATACTAGTTCCTTGGGCTCCTCGATTACTACTTCTGGTGAAGACCTTTGTGAGCCTGAAGTAGATGATGATGTTCCTACTTTGCAGAAGACTCTGGAAATGCTCAGTTTGGCAGAATATGCAAGCACCTTTGAAAAGGAGCGAATTGACATGGAGTCTCTGGTACATTAATGTTCTCTTGATCTATGGAGATTGCCCAGGATCTGGAGGTTTATGTGTGGGGTAGTTGTTGTTGTTGTTTTCCTTTGGGTTTAATGTAGCATGGGGCCTGAAAACAGTTGCAAAGGTGGGATAATTAATGTGTGACACGAAGACTGTGTTAAGCAACTCTCTCTTTCTTAATCTGGTGTATTGCCCCCCCCAGTTATGTTAAGGTGCTTTGTAATAAGTCTTAATTTTTTGTAATTTCTGTAGCTTTAGAAAATGTCATATCTATTTCATAAGTTATTGAGAATAAGAAATTTTATATGTTACTAGAAAAGTTATAAAGTATGCTTCAATATGTTTGGTTTTTTTTTAATTTTAGCTCATGTGTACAGTTGATGACCTGAAGGAAATGGGCATACCTCTTGGACCAAGAAAGAAAATAGCTAATTTTGTAAAAGACAGAGCAGCCAAGCAGGTAAATACATTTTTCAGAAATGAAATAATAAAAAGTTAAGCAAGTGCTGCTGACTTCCTTGCTGTGGAGTAACTTTAACACGCTCCTTAACATTTATGGAATTTTATCAATGGTGAAGTAACTTTTCTTTTTTTTTTTTTTTCCTGCTTTCTAAATGTTTCTAAAAAGGAACAAAAGAAAATAATAGCAGAAAAGAAAGCAGTGCTGGCTGCCACACTCCAAACTCAGGAAGATGCCCAGAAAGGAAAAGAGAACATGACTTCCATCTCCCCTTCAGAGTCTGGTCAGCTGCACTCAAAGAGGAAGCTTCCAGTTGGTGCATCTGTTTCTTCTGTGAACATTGACTATGAGTACTTTGAAGTTGGCACTGGCCAGGTGAGACTACGTGGATTTAATTGATTCATTTGGAATGATGCTGTTCTCTTGCTTGGCTTTGTTTTTGTTTTTTTTTTTTTTTTTTTAATATTGGAGACTTTGTGCTACTTTGTTTGGTTGTTGTACAAAAGTTATGTTTCCATAGAACTTTTACCCTTTGTCAGGAAGGAGGGCTGTGAGAGTAGGTTAGATTACTGAAAAGCAAAACTTACTGTGACAGGAATGTCACTACTGTTCATTTTCTTCTTTCAGCCACTGACCTGTAAACGTGGTTCTGTTCCAGAAGCAGAAGGGTGTGAATGACATTACTGAATTGCTCTGTGGCTTTACAGTTAACATAATAGCCTAAATTGATCCATTTGTGCTGTTACATTTAAGTTTTACCTCAAACTTAACAGCCAAACTTTGAAGAGTTCTTGTTTCAAATATATTTTTTTCATGCTTTTGAATTTTTTCTTTTAAAAAAAACAAAACAAAACAACATTTTGATGTTACAGTATTAATTTGTACTAGTACTATGGCACTAGTGTGGAAGAGAGTAATGCAGCTGAAGCTTCCTGGAAGTACTGTGAGCATATGGTTGATTTAATACACAGCTTGTTTTTCCTTCCTAGCTGAGCATACTGTTAACTAGCTGGCAGTTCAGAGAGATTATAAATCTGATTTCTGTCTGGTAGGTCTCTGTGGTTTACAGTGCACTGGACTTTGAACCAGATATTTTCTTTGCTCTTGGTTCTCCTATTGGTGTGTTCCTTACTGTGAGAGGTGTGGAGAAGATTGATGAAAACTACAGGCTTCCTACCTGCAAGGGATTCTTCAATATCTATCATCCAGTGAGTAAGCAGTGCTGTTGAGATTTGATTTTAGTTGATGCAGGTGACAGCAATGCAGAATGCTAAATTTTAACTTGTGAGCATTACATGTCCTCTTCCCCTAAGTACATTTCCCCAAACAATCTTTTTTGAAAAATGACCTAGCTGAAATATATATTCCAAATATTTGTGGTCTTTAGTGCAAAAGTGAAGTAGAACTAGCTGTAGGATCCATACTTAGCATTTTAGGTATGACTTGTTTTGATAATATTTGCCCTGTTCTTTTTGAGAGCTTAAAGAACTCCCCTGCTTAATTTCAAGCCACACTCATAGATTTTTATAAAGTGTTTGTATTTGAGCCATTTACAGGACTTTTCTGAGTTTCCAGTTTAGATTCTAGGGAATTCAAAAATCCTTAGAGGTTTGGCAGTGTGTTCATTTGTCCTCTTTTGTCCCATCTTCTGTATTAGTTAAAGAATGACATGTTGGTAGAGATTGTAAGAGTGCAAGAAAGTTTTGCTGCTCTTTCACTGTTGTGTTTCCCATTTAGAATCTCTGTGGAACAAGATGTAATTAGTTAATGAACCTGCTTAATCTTATAATTATACTAAATGATGATGAACTAAGTGTCTGTAAACTGAAATAGAGCAGAATTCAAAAATAGTTTTTTAGTATTCATAAGTAAGGTTGGTTTTTTTTCTGAAGTGTGATAATTGGAACAATTTCTAAGATAACTACATGTCCGTGTCTTGTTTCTTAACAGCTTGATCCAGTAGCTTACAGGTTAGAACCAATGATTATTGAAGACATGGATTTAAAACCAGTTCTCATTCCACATCATAAAGGCAGAAAAAGACTACACCTGGGTAAAAAAAAACTTATTTCATATATGGATCTCATTCCTAATTTACTAATTTGATGCATTAGAAAATTGTACAGTTTCAAGAGACTAATGAATGCTCCTGGATATCTGACTCCTTGTTGTTTCTAAACATCAGAGGGGATCCTATTCTGTAAAATGGTACATTAGAATGACTCTGCTTGACATTGGCAGCAATTCTGGTCTCTTCTGCTCTGCTGGAGTTTGAAACTAGTCTCTCTATACTTTTCCTTTAATGTAGAATGTTAGGAATGATTGTGGGTGGTGTGATCATAGAATCATTAAGGTTGGAAAAGCCCTCTAAGATCATCAAGCCCATCTGTCAAGCCAACACTACCATGACCACTAAACCATGTCACAAGGCACTGGGTCTACATGTTTTTTGAACACCTCCAGGGATGGTGACTCCACCCCCTCCCTGGGCAGCCTGGTCCAGTGCCTCACCACTCTGTCAGGAAAGAAATTCTTCCTAATAGTAAATCCAAACCTCCCCTGGTGCAACATAAGCCTATTTCTTCTTGTCGAAATTCTTCCTAGTATCCAATCCAAACTTCCCCTGGTACAACATAAGCCTATTTCTTCTTGTCCAAACACCCACCTCACTCCAACCTCCTTTCAGGGAGTTGTAGAGAGCAGTAATGTCTCCTGTGAGCCTTCTTTTGTCCAGACTAAACCACCCCAGGTCCCTCAGCTGCTCCTCACCAGCCATGTTCCCCAGACCCTTCACCAGCTTTGTTGCCTTTCTCTAGAGTTCCTCCAGCCCCTCAACATCTTTCTTATACTGTGGTGCCCAAAACTGAACCCTGTACTCAAGCTGTGGCCTCACCAGTGCTGAGCACTGGGGGATGATGCCTGCCCTAGTCTATTGTGTCTATAGTGTGGTTGGCCACACTATTTTCGATACAGTCCAGGATGCTGTTTGGCCTCTTGGCCACCTGGGCACACTGCTGGCTCATGTTTAGCCAGCTGTCCACCAGCATCCCAGGTCCTCCACTCCAAGCCTGGAGCATTGCCTGGGGTTGTTGTGACCCAAGTGCAGGACCTGGCACTTGGGCTGAGGTCGGTTGTTTGGGGTTTAACAAGGCCAGTGATGCAGCCTGCCCAGGTCCCTCTGCAGAGCCTCACGACTCTCCAGCAGATCAACACTCCTGCTCAGTTTGGTGCTGAGGGATTGGCTGGTGTATCTATTTTGTGGACCTTTCTGGAGTTAGAGGCTACTGGACTGTTTCTTGTGCTATTAGGTTTTAACTCATTGACCCGTTCAGTGAGAAGTCAGTTGTGTATTAATTACATTTCATCTAATCTTTTTGAATAGAATAGAAAAGCAAGAAACACAATGACATAGAAGACCTGTTTCTAATGACTGGAATGTTTTTTGAACAGACTTTCATCATTCTGGCTTTAGTTTATAAGTTTAAATCCATTTACTATGGTGATATATTTTTTTTTTCTCCTTTTTTTTCCTAGAGTTGAAAGACTCCTTGTCTCGCATGGGATCTGACCTGAAGCAAGGCTTTATTAGCTCTTTGAAGAGTGCATGGCAGACCCTTAACGAATTTGCACGTGCTCATACATCATCAACCCAGCTGCAAGCAGAACTGGAGAAAGTAGCTAACCAAATTAAAGAGGAAGAAGAAAAGCAAGTGGTAGAAGGTACGTTGGACACATTATTGTTTTTCTTTGAACTTGATCTCAAACTAGTAGAAACTTGAGGATCCTATTGGTTTCCCTGATGCCATTAAAGAGGAAAAGTGCTAGTACACTAGATGCCAGATGCCCACCAAAACCACCCTGTCACTTCCCTCCTCAGCTGGACAGGGGAGAGAAAATGCAAAAGGTTTGTGTGTTTGAGATAAGGAGAGGGAGAGATCACTCACCAATTAGAGTCATGGGCAAAATAGACTTGACGGGGAAATTTAATTTATTGCCAATCAAATCGGAGTAGGATAATGAGAAATAAAACCCAATCTTATAACACCTTCTCCCCACCTCTCCCTTTTTCTTTGGGCTCAACTTCACTCTTAACCTCTCTACCTCTTCCTCCCCCAGTGGCAGAGGGGGACCAGGGAGTGGGGTTTGTGGCCATTTCATCACATATCTCTGTCACTTCTTCCTCCTCAGGGGGAGGACCCTCACG